ACCCACTTAGCCACCCAGCCACGTAGCCACCTCGGCTTTCGGCCATTGTTTTGTCCCGGTCCTGCAAACACTTTTGCCCGGCCGTGGCTCTTCTCCTATGGCCGGCAAATATTGACCATTTGCCTTTTGCCAATTTGTTTGCATTTCAGGAAAATATTTTCATTTTCAATGCTCGCTCGACTCTGCCGGTTAGCCATATTGAAAATTAAACTGCAAACTAGTTGCAGTCCTCTAGCTGTGTATGTGTATATCTTTGTCAGTGTATGTTTGTAAGAGTGTGTGTGTGTGAATGTGGCACATGGAAAATTGCCTTTATTTCCCTGGCCATGCCTACGGTGAATTGTCATTTTTAATTTATTTTGTTGCCGGCATTTATACAATAAATATCTCACTGTGTCCACACGGCACTCGCTCTCTCTCTTACCAATTCGCTCTTCCTCTTGGCCATTTTGAGGCTTGCTTGTTGTTTGCAATTGCTTTTTGATTATCTCTATTTGCTGTTTGTGTTATTGAGCTACGTTCCGTTACCATTTGTATGTGTGTGTGTGTGGGTGTGTGTGTGGGCATGGCCAAGTGAAAACAAATTGAGTTCTCCGTTAAGCGTCGAAAATAGTTTTCAACTATCTCCTGCTACTCGTTTCTGGCCATTTCTTTCTCTTGCTCATGTGTGTGTTTGCTTTTACGTGTGTGTGTGTGTGTGAGCATGGTTCGAATCCAAAGTGCTAAAGCTTGTAGTGCCGTTAGTTTGCATTAAATTTTTCGGCAACTGGCTCTCTCACTCGCTTAAGAACGGCCAAAAAGCGGAGAGTGTCAGGAATTATGCCTGGCAACGTTGTTGTTTTCCCTTTCTCTGCTGGCAAAAAATAAAATTTCGGCAACATTTTCTGCTTATGTTTTATGTAAAGCCTTAAATGGAGTTTGCACTGCACGATGTCGGGCGAGAATGGGGCTGAAAAGTTCGGGGGACATGCAATTTGTGTGTTCCAAAGTGGCTTATCATAAGTTCCACTCACGCTCCGAGAAGTTACAGCCAGAAATGCCCTCTAGAATTTATAACAATGGAGGAAAACCAATTTTCGTGAATATAACATAGTTTTGTGCAAACTGCTTGGGGCATAAGAAGATTTTTAGGGGCACCAAGTGTATATCAACCACTTATAATATTAATATTAACCTTCAGCAGTAAATATTACCCTTGAATGTTTAACCAAATTTAAACTTTAAAGCCACAGCCATTCGTTTCCCCCGCATTTCAAGCAAAGCCAGGCGAACATATTTCATTCGCATTATTCCAACTCTTTGTCTATTTTCGCAAGGACCTCCAGACGCGGATAGCATTTTTTCCTCTTTTAATGCATAGCAAAGTCGAACCACTAAACAGTTTTAAATTTGCATAAAAATCCGTTTTATTAACATTCAAAGGCGATTCCTATCGCCGCTAAATTGAAGAAAAGTAGCTGGAGTTGGTCGGCGGGGCAGAGGAGTTTAGTTCCGAACAAACAGAGACCCCGAAGGAAAATGCCATGTAAATGCTCTCGGGGCAGAGGCAAAAAAAAAAAAAAAAAAAGTGTAAGAAAAATTCCTTTGCACTCAACAAAGAAGAAATAAATAACTTTCGAGTCAGATTAGCCAACTTGTCACGAAATGCAAAATGACATTTAATACCCAACGACTTGGACGAGGACGACGACGAGGACATGGACTTGAGTGCTCCCAGCTCCCAGCTCCCATTTCCCAGCTCCTAGCTTCCAGCTCCAAGTTGATGGGCAGCAGCTGCGTTCCAAAGGGGGGACTTAACTTGGAGGGGGAGAGGGGGGATTATAAGGAAGGGGGCTACATCCCAAGACGCATGTCGACCAAATGGCAATGCGATACGCGACGATATACATGACTGGACCTGACTTGCACTTGGCATGAAAACATGAGAAATTCCTTAGCCAATGGCCACCTACCCCCGCCCACTTTCCCTCCCCCGCTTTCCACAATGGCATGCCAGAACGCTAGACGACAGCGACATTGTTTCGAATGGCCTGGCAAAAGAAGAAAAATGGCTCTGAAATGCCATCACTGCCATCATCCCGCCCGAAAAAGGATGAAAAAAAGAAAAGGAAAAACAAAAAACTGGAAGAGGAAAGCGAAAAAGTAATCATTGCAATTTAAAGCGGATAATCTGCATCAGACCGAAGCTGTGAAACAAGAAGCGTTGCGAAAAAAGGCGAGAGCTCTAAAAAGGGTTCCAGTTCCAGTTTCAGTTGCACAACGCGAACACTGGCAATGCAAATATGCTGCGGCGCCACCACCCTCCCCCCATTTTTCCCCACTTTCTGCCACTTTCCCCCTGCGTGCGTGAGTGGACACCATTTGCAATTTTAGCACTCGCTTTTCCACTCTCTCTCGTGGTTTTTTTTCGCACGCCCAAGGAGCGAGGCAGTCATGCAGATTACAATCGAAATGACATGAAAATGTTTAGTGTGGCGTGTGGCAAAAGAAAAAAAAATGGGGGAAAAAGGAAGAAAGTCGCGGTGGCAATGTCAAGCGGCAGGAGCAAGAAAGTGTTGCATATCTACGGGCGCCAGCCACAAGAAAGAAATTGCCCCGGGAAAACGGGAAATCGGGAGGTGGAAAGTGGCAAGTGGCAAGCGAACGCTTGGCACTCGAAGATAATGTCGCTCCCGCAGCCGAGGATCTCTCCTGGCCTGTAAGAATAATGTCTTATTTGATTGTGGCCGGCAAATGCAATTTAAATTTGTTGCCAAAGCCCTTGAAAGTCGCTGAATGGCGGCGCTGAATGGGCGAAACGAATGCCAAATCGATTTATAGATTCATCAATAACGTAGCACTCCGCTTATGCACACTGCTAATTCAGTTAGCCAAGTGCCCAACATGATTCAATGGCCATCAGCAGGCAATTAACCCAGTTGCAAGGGCAACGAGTGATTGCCGTAAAAAATTGCATTAGCCTTTCATTAAAGCGAAATATAGCTTCAAAATTGGGAATTAAACTACAAACTTCTCTTCAGAATCGGAGTGATATGTTTCGGTTTTAGAAGTATTGGTTTTTTACATTTTTTCCATTTTATCGAATGGGAAGAGTCAGATACAGGGAGAGATTCAAATGCAGCTATTCAAATCGGTGGCTGTTGTTGAGTAAACTCAATCGAAGCATTAAAGTACTGCCAATGGCGCCAATAAGCACAAACAAACATGCCAAAGTGGCTCCTGTTCGAGTGCCTGTTTGTCCTTCTGTGTGTCCCGAAAGTCCTGGCAGTTGCTGATTGAAAGTTTTGCGCAGAAGGATGGAGAAAAATATTTGCTTGTCGTCAATAAATATTTTGTGCTGTGTTTATTGATCAAAATTGCGAGCCAACAATGCAAAGTATTTTGTTGGCTCGCCAAATATTTATCCACCGGCGATGGAGAATCCGAAGCATTTGACAATTAATTAGCCTAATTTATGGCTTTGTATCGAGTGGCTTCAACCGATAGTTGGTAGTTTATTAAAAAGTTGCTCCTCCTAGTTTGCCCCACATTTGTCAATATGCTGGCAAATATTTGCGAGAATCATAACAGAGCAAATAAAAATAAACAGAACTGTTGTTCGGCAACAATTATTTGTGAGTTAGCGCCAGTTGTTGGGCGCCATAAATCTTGTACAGCTTTCAGGGCGTCATAAATTGTAAATGCCATCAGCAGCGGCAGCAGGAGAAAAGGGAAAAAACACAGGGGGGGGCACCGAAACGAGTTGGCATGTCTCCTCCGCTACAGTTTGCCGTCCCTGTCTCCTGCTATTTGCTGTCCTCTTCTGGCCAGAGCAAACAATCAATTTATGCACACACAATTTTCCCCTTTTACATATAAATTCGTACTTTTTCAATGGGTTTTTTTCACTCATTTTCTGTGAACGTTGAGTCGCCCGCCTTGCTGTATGCAAATATTTGTTAACTTCATTTGCTCTGAATTAAATATAATTTACATGCATATTTGTTTGCCAGTTGGCCTGCCCTCGATTCTCCTCGATTCTCCTGGAAAGCCCTGTTCCACATGCCATGTTGCATGCATCAGGGCGCATTAGCCCACTCTCCCGTCGTTCGATCCTCCGGTCATTAAAATTATTGTTGACATTTGGCCGCGGAAAAGTGGGGGTGAGCCGCGTTAATCCGCCGCCACAATTACACGTGCTAATGAAGTGAAATTTTTACTTTTTCGCAATTAAAATCTCGTTTCGATATCGCTATAGCCCGAAAATATGTTTGGAAAAATGCGGTCTCATGTCTCGCGAGCGTTCCGGAATCCAGATTTGCCCTGAGGCGAAATTGCAGCGCTTTTGCATGCAGTTAATTGGTTTGGCTTTTTCGGGCCGGGTAAAATGTGTTGACAGCACGAACATAGAGCTATTCAGAGCTCCCAGTCATGCCAAGGATAACAGAAATTACACAGAAGGTACTCCATTGCAGGCAGAGTAATTTGCTTCAAATGGCGCCCAATTATAACAACTTCAATGGGAAAAGATTATACTACCCGAATTCACGATATGTTTTATTACACATTACGTCAGTCGTTTTAAGATTTAATACTCGCGATTTCATGTACATAAAAATCACATCAATTAATTTGCAAGAGAAAGAACTTTGTTTATTCAATAAATGTGAAATGAAAATATATTTACTCCTGCAAAGCGAACCAGAATCAACCCGGGCATTAAGGTTAAGCACAACAATTTGTGTTAATCAACACAGCTCCCGCAGCCAGGAATAGAAACCATTAACATAAATTCGTTTCGAGTAATTTATTTAGTGCGACAAAGGCACTTCCTGGCCAACACGCTCACTAAATTGCCACAGCCAGGAATCGAATCTGAATTATGGCCAGCTGCCGATGGCCAGGGAACAAAGATTTAACCCCTGCTGGCTGTCAGTCGAGGCAATTTATGAAGCTTTCTCTTTTTTTTCCTCTAGACCAGAAAAATTTGCTAAACATTTTCTTCGCATTTTCTATTGCAGGGCCGCTGTAATCGTGATAAACCGCCGTGCAAATATTTTCATCCACCACAGCATCTGAAGGATCAGTTATTGATAAATGGACGCAATCATTTGGCCCTCAAGAATGCACTGATGCAACAGATGGGCATGGCGCCCGGCCAGCCGGTCATATCGGGCCAAGTGCCAACCGTGGTAAGTGCCGCTCTAATACTTTAATTGAATTCCCCCCACTTCGTTTCGACTTCCCGCTCGAAAATATGAATATTTATAAGCGGACTTCTCCTCTGCCACGACCATGAATATCCGAAATGCCGGCCAGAAAAAAAATGGGGAATTCAAAGTGCGCGAAAATGAGTCGAAGAGTGAGCCAGAGGAATGTTTTATTCATGCGGGGGAGAGCTCTCCGCTTTATAACAAATCGGAAATTAATTCCCAAATAATTTGCGACATGGTTTTTGTGGATTTGCAGCTAAACGACAGCCGTCATTAGGAAGGGGCTTTTTTGCCAGTGGGCAAAAGGAAGGAGCACCCATGTCGATTGTTGAAAAATGCATGAATTTTCATTAGAGCCGGTGTCGGGGCCAAAAAGGTTTCCGAGTGCGTGCCAAGCATAATTTGAGCCCAGCGAAAGGGTCAGTTAATGGGCAGTGTGAAGCCTTCAATGGGGTGTCGAGCCATTAGATTGTTATGGGGATAGGCCATAAATAAAACAGATTTAAAACGGAATTTAAATTGAGCAGCCCTTGGTGGTCGATGATATAGAAGTATTCCATATTAAAAAAATATAATTTGCAGCTAGTTTGAAAAGTACGAAAAAATCTTGTAAATGTTATTAAGTTTTCGTTTATTATATTAGAATAATTTAATCCACCTAAAACCAAATAAAAGCAGAACACTAAGCTCGCTATAAAATCGCATTACTCTGTTGAGTTTATAAAACAAACCATTAGGAAACGAACAAAATATGTTCTTAATAAATATAGTATAAGGCAAATCTAGACAGTTTAGATATTTACCGTAATGCGCTCGAGGAAATTAGACAACACAATCCATTATTCGTAAACATTTCAAGGTAATCCACAAAGCTGCCACTATAATTACGTCCTGATGGACAACTGTTTGATGAGTTATTTTGATAAATGGCCAAACGACTGACCAGCCTCCCCCCATTTCCCTCTCCGTTCTCTTGCAGGCCACAAGTCCCTATCTGACTGGCATTCCGGCCAACTCGTACAGTCCGTACTACACAACGGGACACCTGGTGCCCACCTTGCTGGGTCCGGATCCCACGGCCGTGGCCTCCCAGTTGGGACCCGTGGTGCCCCAAACAGTGCAGGTGGCCCAGCAGAAAATACCACGTTCCGACAGATTAGAGGTGAGTTTCGGCCCGATGCCGCACAAAATACGTTTCGATATACGTTTATGTATCCATGGAAGTCAATTTTCTGCGATTTAATTTACGCTTACGTTGTGTTTATTAACATTATTTGTTTGTTCGCCGTCGGCGAGACTTACACGCAACGAAAATTGTTTCCGTTTCTTGTGTTCCTTTTCGTGGCATGTGTTTATGTATTTATATTTCTAATTAGAATTAATCTTAACTACGTATACAAGTATTGCGAACTAAAAACGAAGACATTGTACAGAGTTTTGAGTTCTCTTAAGTTTGCCAAAAGATCAAGCTGAAATTGCGACCAAAATCAACTGTATAATTCGCCAATAACCAGAATTGATTCGACGTTTTGACACACATTCGTATTTGTCTAACACCGCCAAATTGAAACCAAATATAAAGACACCCAATCTCGATGTACTCTTACTTTCATTTCTTAAGATCTTATTTATCTATCTAGTGTAAACGAATTAGAAAGGATCGATGGAAGAGTCGATCGCACAATATTGCAGCTTGGCCTAGCAGCTGCTTTTCAGAAGCTTTTTTAGGAAGCTTACGAGCCCTGTAAATAGCCCAAGAAATCTATATTAAATTTCAGAATTCTTTGCACAAATATTTCTGATTTCGTTTTGATTTTCCCGTTTCCGTAAAGTTATTTTGATTTTCCGATTACCGGAAGGAAGCTCCGTTTTTCACCCCATTCTCCAGACCTCTTACAAAGTTTTAGAGTTCCTTTAGCCCTCAAAATTAAATCATTGTAGATATGGTGTAAAGGAGTAGAAGAATTTTTCGTATTCCCTCGAGGGACCATAGAGTGGTAGTTGTTCAGCCATTGATTTCGAGTTTTTTCCTTTAATATCCTAGCTCTTGTTTACTTTGAATCAGCAGACACCGAAATACTCTCTACAAACAGTCCAACCCGAGCTCCCCGTAACGTCTTTGAGTTATTGTTTACTCCTGATTTCGAATAATCCTTGCATTCTCGTTGTTCCTTTTTGTTATGTTTGTGCTACGTGTTACTCTTGTGTTTCTCGTACTCAAAAGTGCACCAACCCAGAAAAATGCAATTTGAAAACTAATCGGCATGAAGCAAAAATAAAAACAACACCCAAAAATAAAACAAAGCAAACCCATTCCAAGAGGCAAGTGCAACAGCAAAAGAAAAAATAATCAAGCAAAAACCTAACACAAATAAAACCAATTTGAAATGCATCCAGATCGGCTCTAATCACTAAACAGAACTTGCCTACCATTTGACTTGGAACGAATCGAAAATATATATGTATATTTTTGCGCAAATACTTAACTTTTCTTTTGATGAAAACTAAAACGTAAACCAAAATAATAACTAAAGTAAAAAAACGAAACAAAAGAAATGAACTTGTTACTGAATATCCTTCCATTATTTCCAAAAAACACACTCCACACACACACATACACCTCTCCGCCTATAAAACACACACACACCAAACCGAAAACACCACTCTGAACCACTTTGAACCACAACTGCTGCCACTTTTGCTATCCGCTGCCAACGCCCGCCAACCAATCAACCAACCAACCAACCAATCGACTGATACCGATACCGAAACCGATGTGCGATCTGCGAACTGCGAAATCGATCAATGGATCGATAAATGTGCAAACCACCTGATAACTGATATTGCCCAACCCCGAAAAATAAAAACCGAAACCGAAACCCACCGATGATCGTCGAAATGCGGGCGTCGTGTTGTGTGTGTGTTTTTGCGATCGATGGCGACGATTGCGATTGCGAATGCGAATGCGGTATATCCGATAACCAATATCCGATAACCGATAAACGATATCCAAAACCGATATACAGGTGTGCCGCGAATTCCTGCGCGGCGCCTGCAAGCGGGCGGAATCCGAGTGCCGGTTTGCGCATCCGCAGGAGAGCGTCGCCAGGCACGACGACGGCTCGATAACGGTTTGCATGGACGCCGTGAAGGGCAGGTGCGCACGCGACCCCTGCCGCTACTTCCATCCCCCCTGCACCTACAGGCACAATTAAAAGCGGCCCAAACACGCGCCACCGCTGTCGCTGCTGCAGCTGCGGTATGGCTATATACTATATATTTTTCTATACTTTTCGAAACCTTCTCTTTGCGTTTGCGTTCGATCAAGTTATGCCCTGTACCTTTCGTTTTTATTATTTTCCGTTGACTTGTTCCTTTGTGCTGCCTAAATACTTATGGTTTCATTTATTTTTATTTCCTGCGAAGTGATTTTTCTGTTCTACATGTTTGCCTAAAGCGACCTTTTCACGAACTGAACAGCTGATGTTAACTAGTTAAAATAAATTCTTTCGAATTTCAAGACGCCTGACAATCGGATCGTGAAAAGATCGCCCCACTAGCATTTTTCGTTTATGTTCTCCAAATAACCTCAACAGAGAAATACAACACAGAATTTTACTCCTGCACTAACACGCCACACAAATATATCAATATATATACATATATATATATATCTCTGTATATATCTAGCCAAAGATGGCCTTAGGCCATCCTGCTTAGTTCGAAATAGTTGATTGAATTTGCTTTAAATTCATGACAAATTCACAGTTCGATTTTATTGGTAAATCTCCTCCCATAGATATATGGATTTAAAGCAAATTTAATTAGAAGTTAATGCCGCATGCAAACAATTTAATTAACTTTATGCAAACACAAACGCCCTCACACATAAAATCTCTTTACAAATAACTGTTATTCCCTGTAAGAGCTGCAAAAAAAAAAAAAAATGTGTGTAATCGTACAAATTTGTAAAACACAAATTATGCTATTTATTTATGCTGCATATTCAATGGCTATGCCAGTGGCTATGCAATAAACGCTTAAGCGACTTTCGCTCGCTCCCCGAAAATATAGAAAATTTCAAATCAATGAACCGAATAATTCAGCCTGATAAACGTGACACATTTGGATTATGCACTCGACTATTTTTTAATACTTCCGTAGTACTTTTGATACTCATTAGCGGTCATATCAAAAGAAAATTTGTCATATAGCAAACATTTAGAATTGACAAAATTTATCAATAATTTATAGTAATCTAAATGTAACTAGATTTGACAAGAAATTGATTCGGAAAAGTTTTAACTCACTGCACAGCATATTTTACAGTCGAGTTAAAATATGAACTGTTCGGTATAAAATATTATTCTGCGGGTTCAATTGAAATCAAGTCAGTGGAGAGGCATCAAATAAAATTTTATGGCTAATTGAAAATTCATTTGGCTGAACTTAATTATGTTTGTCCAAGGCAAATGAAATGTTCAACAATCATTTGGTGGGACACCATTCAAACAGGGTGTTCCGGCGTCATTTAGATGTTAATTTTGTTTGTAGATCAATAAATAATTATATTTTTTAAGTACGCCGCCCAGACAGAAACAAACAAACAATGTGAGTGGGGGGAAAGAACATAATCCTGCCAGATGGAGGACGATGAGAGAGTTGGGGCCAAAATATCCGGCAACACGGAAAATATGTTGAAGCTCACATAAAACACGCCATAAATGTTGATTTTCGTTGGGCCAAAATTAACATTTATTACAACGCGTTAAAACTTTGAGCACGCAGCAGGTCGAGTCGGGAAAATGCGGAGGAAAAGCGGGAGAGCGGAAAAGCGGAAAAGCGGAAAAGAGAGGCAGCCGGGCCGACACGGCACTCACACACATGGGCACGTACGTGGTCGTATCCCTGTTTCCCGGCTGCGTGTCCTATGCGCCGTACTTAATTCGCGACTTAATTGCTTTCTGCTGGAAATTTATTTGACGCAACAAACAACAGCGCTGTCCTTGTTGGCCCGACCGAAAGGCGCATTGGCGGCTAGGGGGGTGAAAATGACACACATAATTGCAGCATAATATCGCATAAAGTGAAAAATTGTTGCAGCATTTTAGGCGTAATTCAATCGAGGCTCTCCTCGTGGAGCGGAAGGGCAGGACAAACGTGATTATTGTATGAAAATGTCCTTTGATACGTCCCGAAAGCACACACACACTGGCACATATGTTGACTTTCCCCCGCTCTGAGCCGATAATTGTATTTATGGGTGCTCGTTTAATGTGATTACAGCCCGGGTAAAAATGGGAATTAAACGCTTACCTTATTGCACCTGTCTACCATGTTTTTTTTTCCATCACGCATTAAACTGATATCCCGCAGAGGTTAATGCTTGATTACTATCGAAATTTAAAAGGTGTGTTTTCCATAAAAGTTGAGGAATAAATTCTTTACAGCTAGCAATCGTTAGAAATATTGTTATATATAAACAACCGATGCAGCGTTGCTGTTCCATTCCATAATAATCTCCTATTCCTGTTATACATCTTACTGTTGAATACCCTATGTAGTCTTGTTTAAAGTTAATATATCCATTAGCTCTATATAACCATATCAACATCCCCTGTATATAACTTTCACCTTGTCCTGCATGCAAAGTAAAAAAAATTTGGTAAACGAAACTACCAAAATCTTTTTTCTTTGGCTGTAGTCCCATCTAAAGGATATCCTTAAATGTACCCCCAAAAGCCCACTTACCGTTAGCTGATTAACCCAGCCTCTTATCGAGTTACAACCGTATTTATCTCTATATATATATATCCAGAACCAATCGACTCTACACCACAAAAACAGACCAAACACAAACTTTGCCTTTGCATATTTGATTTCCCCCTATAATTTCCCTGTGTTATTGTTGCTGTCGTTGATAAGCGTTTAAGTTTTGTTTATTATGATTGCCGTTTGGCATTTTGGGTCACCGAAACGTCCCCATATGTCAGCAAGCGAAGGGGAGAAAAAGCCCCATATCGATGGGGGATCTCCCCTCGGCGTCGATGGCAAATATGCCACCTGCCGCAACGAACGACCACACAGAACTATAATCCCGGCATGTAAGCGTGACAAGAGCATCTCGGCCAAGAAAAAAGGCCGGAGGAAAAGTGAAACTGCTGGGAATGGAAATGGGCAGCCGGAATGGAAGGACGACCGGAGTGCGCTCTTCGCTCCTTCTTTTTGCCCGCCGCACTGACCAAAATGTAAATGTCAACCTGTACAGGACACGGATACGTAAACGAACGTGGACACGGACGACAAGGATTAGTCCGGGCCGGATAACGTTTGAACCGGAAAATTAACTAAAAGCAGAGATTTCCATGCCAATGAATTGTCCTGCGGAGTCTGGCGGTCCAGCCTGCCGGTTTTTTATGGACTCGACCCCGATACACACATCCAGCCATGGCCGTGTTCATATGGCCAGCAACACCCCACGATGTTGTCGCGCCCAAGCGAATTAATCCATTTGTAGCATTCATTGCCAGTGACACTAGCCCAGAAAAACGCCGGGTGTAAAAAAAAAAAAAGCGAAGGAACGAAGTCTCAATTCAACTGGCCATCTCTTTTGCACCTCGGACTGGCTGTCTCTTTCGCTGCCTCCATTTAAATGCAAATTTTGCACTCTTTCATGCGACCTCTGCCCCAAAATGTATGCTAAGTTTTTTGCCAGTGTGCCTGTGTTATGTTCGGTTTATTTTTACCCTGTGGTTCTTGGTTATTAGGCACACATGGGTCCACTTTCGTGGCAAGGGGCACCCAATTGCGGTGTTAAACGCATTAGCATTGAGCTCTGCAAGAAAATTTATGGGTACGGAAATTGGGGTCGCAACTTTGCCGGGGACTTAAAACTATACACTAGGGGTGTATACTATTAAAAACTGGGTCACGAAAACAAAACAAAAAGTAAATTAAGTGTTCCTGAAATCAAATTTCAAAACCCTTAATCCAAATCGGAGCTGTAACATTTAAATTGCCCTTTAATTGCCTGAGTTGATCTCCTTTTTGTGAATGAAAATCAGCAACGATGCATCGGTAGGTATAAGATATATTCTCCCCCCAAAAAAAAACACAAATGCGAATGTGTCTAGTCAAAGTTGGCGTATCAATTGGCGAACCCAGTGATTTTGTTGTCAAGACGATCAATTTGATACCCCCTAAGTTAGATCATAAGACCAAAGGAAAACTCTTTAGAATGTAAGAAAACAAGGCTTTTACACTTTGCTGGCTTTCGCAAGCTTTTTTTGAAACGATTCTCTAACCAAACCAGGCTTCCACTCACACGAAACTAACTTGTTTTTCGCTTCTTTCCGAATAAACCAATGAATATTAATCGAAAATATTAACGTTTAGTTGGTATGTGTAACGTTTTTTTAAAGCTCTTTCAATATCAAATGGAAATCGTGTTTATTTGGATTACTGTTGATTTCTACTTGATTTATTCATATTTACTCTCTATACGAATATAATCTATATACGTAAAATTTGATTTTTTCTATTTATTTACTTATCGATATCAAAACACTTCCGTACTCTTCTACTATTATGTATTTTTCATCTGTTCGCCTGTGCCAACACACACACACACACCCACACACACTGTAACTGCTTCTACGATGGATGGTACGAACACTATTGAAAAAAACACACACACACATATGCACAAAACACAAATGCAAAACAAAAAAAAAAACAAAAAAAATTTCAAATGAACTGAAACGTATATATTTATAAAAAATGCGAAAAAAATACGAAAATTGAACGCACTAATTAATAATTCATGAAATCGAAACAAAAAATTATGAAAAATATGCCAACACCAATGCCGCTTGAATAATTAAAATTGGAACCCGTCAACTATTTAATGGACACATTTAAATGCTTGTATATTTTAATAATTTTGCATATATTTGCCTGCCTCTCTTTGTGTGTCCCCGTGAATTTTCGTTTGACTTCAATTTTCCCGAAAAATGTTTCGAAAATGTTTGGACACGTACGCACACACACACACGAACACACACACAGACCTCACCTCTTACGGCACACCATCACCAGCAACAATTGCAACACCAGCTGAACAACATCAACAACAACAACAACCACAGCACCGCTGGCGCAGCAGCAGCCACCTCGACAACAGCAACAACAACCACAAACAACGCCGCTGCCGCCGCCGCCGCTGCTGCCGCCGCCGCTGCCGCCGCTGTAATGGGCCATCATACACTGGAAGTGGGCAAGAAGCGGGCGGCGGACACAACCGATATGTTTCCACTGGTATTTTTCTTTTCCTTCACCTTGTGTTTATGCGTTATTCGATTTTCCATATATTTTGTTTTTTCGAAAATTTCCCTTTTTATTTCCTAACTCGTTATACCTTTAGTTGACTAACCTTGGTTTCGACAGTTGTTAGTGCTTCTGTTGGTTGTTGAACTTAGTTTCGCCTTTTTCGTTGCATGCTTTTAGGCGGGTGAAGAGATCCTGCGAAGGGTCTTCGCTATAAGGATTAGTTTTAAGTAAAGGATGTATAAACAGTTTGAAAAATTTGCTGCGCTTTGGTGATATGTGAAGTATAAATTCAAAAAACTAATTAAAACATAAAACTCCTACAGTCAAATCAATTAGAAGTTCGATTGGTTACTTTTATTAACAGCAAAGCTAAGGCCAAACTTAATTTGGTATAACCACTTAGACTGTGAGACCTCCGTAAACCATCCCCGTCCTTTTTGGTCGTCGAAAGGAAATGCTTTCAACTTTCACCTAACCAGCAGCCTCACCTTAGTTGTTCAGCGGCTCATTCACTCAATCACTCAATCACCCACTCAGTTAGTCAGTCACATGCACATCAAAGTGCCATCAATTAACGTTTATTATCAGCATGGCCAGGTCGGCTGGGGATGTGCAACCCCCCGGCATTTAATTTACAAAATGAAGTCATTATCCGATATATCAAAAGCGCAAACACTCACCAAGGAACACAAACACACACTCGCGCACTGGCACACTAATCAATACCGACCCCCCCACACACTTACACACTCACACACCTACACACAGACGCAGACACACTTTTTGCAATGGCAAGAGCGAATTCAACCAATTACACGTGGCATATGATAAATCACAATCACAACACTAGCACACTCGCCCTGCCAAGTGTTAATTAAAATGATTTAACCGATAATTGCGAAGGCTGTAGCTGTATTCCGTAGCTGTAGCATTACCTTTGGCGGTAACTGTAAGTTTCTTTCTTTTGCTTCTGCCTCTGCCACTGCCTCTGCCGCTGATTGCATTCGCGGGCTTAATTGTTTAAGTGCTTTTCCTGGTTAATTAGCTGAACATGCACCACCTGCAGCCTGCAGACTTTGTTTATCCCGCCCCCTTTTCCGTTTACGTCACGCCCACCCGCCCATCTCACGCCCGCCCACACATCACATCACATTGCCACCTATTAGGACTAAGTATCTGTGTACCCGTTTATGTATATATGTATCTGATTATTGCCATATTGCCACCGTACTGTGCCCAGGATATATCCACTAATTTCGTTTGTGTTCTTCTCTCCTCTTCATTTGCTCTTCTTCGATTCCATATCTCTTGCGTTCGTTTCAAAACTCCACCTCTCTCACTGTCCCGCGAAATCGAAAATAATAATTGCGAAATGTGTGTGCTAACCCGATCCGATTCGATTCGATTCGATCCGATCCGATCTGATCATCAATCAAACAATGATAACCCAACAATCAACTACAAATCATACACTAACCGCATAATCAACAACAATCGATAACTGCCAAAAAAGATGGATGTTAAAACGGTTGGTTCATTTTACTATGAAAACTTCGTAAGTACTCCAAACTGAATGACAATCGCCACGTTCTGTAGTCAGCCTAGAACCCGATCGGCATATATACTCGTACACTATAAAGACTACTGCCTGAATAGCCATAACAGCGATAAATATATACAGACATGCTAATAACCAGCCGAACTTTCGACGAACGCCGCATGCATTCAAAATCAAACAAATTTTATATTAAATCGATAAATCATGGACATTGGTCTGCTTCTTAAAAATCTATATCAATAAATATATATTAATTATAAACCAATTTCAGGTTGATCGCAATGACCAACTTTACAATAATATCAAGCTTATACGCACACACAAAATATCAAAATAAAAAGATCGGATAATATCACAACAGAAAATTCAATAAATCCATAACACAGAAAGCTTATTCTTCTCACTCAAATGTAAACTAAGAACGCTTTTCCCAGTACTTTTCACTGAACTGCACGCACTTTCGATTCATTGAGTTGCAAACTATATTCAGCCTATGCTTAGATTTTCCATTTTGATTTCTGATTTCATTCAGTTGAAATATATATTCCGTTTCATATTTCCTATAATTTTTTGGTAACTCTCACCCGAAACGAATAGAAATTGGCGAAAAAAAGCAAGCAAAGCGCAAAAAATAAAATAAGAAACTCAAAATTAACCAAAAGCAAGCTCGTTTGTAAGCAATTGTTATAGTGTAATACGGTTACCAGTAGACTAAGTTGTACAAACGGGAAGTAAATCTATAATACTAATGAATATCTCTTATCTCTTTCTCTTTCCCTCTACCCATCTCTTTCTCGCAACGTTAGCAATTCTCTGGCATGGTTCCGTTCAAACGTCCAGCTGCCGAAAAGTCTGGCATTCCAGTTTATCAGCCCGGTGCGACCGCCTATCAGCAGCTAATGCAGCCCTATGTGCCAGTCTCATGTGAGTATCCCCAACAACAACAACAACAACAACCACCACCACAACAACAACAACAACTACATCAACAACAACAACAACAACAAAATGTACTACTACAACAACTACAATTAAGTAGCGCCATAACAACAACAACTACAACAGCAACAGCCAGTAATAATATGATTAATAATATAAATAACAACAAACAAAGTATCATGAACGCTGTAATTGCTACTACTACCAATATACCATCATCAGCAGTAGAAACAACAACAGCAACATCATCATCAACATCATCAGCCTCAGTATCAGCAACAATAGCAGCCACAGCAAAAGCCATTACTAATCCGAACGATAGTGATCCCGATTCCGATCGCAATCCAGATAATGACAAAGATCGCGAGAGCGCTGCTGATGGTGAAACTGATAATGCGGATCGCAGCGATGCCGCTGATCAAGCTAGCAATCAAGACAATAGTGACCAAACGAAACTCAATCTGAATCTGAATCTGAACCACAATCCGAATTCGAACCAGAACCAGAACCCCAGTCCCACTAACGATTGTAATACAACACGAACAATCTCACCCAATCCAGACACAGTAGCAACAGAAACAGCAGCAGTAACAGTAGCAGCAGCAGCAGCAGCAGATACTTTAGATACAGCTAACGCAGCAGCCACGCCCCCCAATGGTGCCTCGCCACCACCCCCTTGCCCCAGTTCCCCGCAGGGGGAGAGTCTCCTGCCTTTGCCGAACGGCCTGGGCGACAACAACAACTACTTGTCGTACATCAACAACAATCTGAACAACGGGCAGCTCAAGTCGGCTAATCCCGAGGAGCTGAATGGCGATTTAGAGGGCATTAGCGCCGCAGCAGCATCGGCATCGGCATCGCGCAGCTTTGCCAAGCAGAACGGCGAGGGCTACTCGCGGTACTCGGTCAATGGCCACAGCACCGGCATCCTGCCCACACCCACCACCTCTGCCCCCCGGTTTCCTACCAGTCGATCAATCAGGCACAGGCACAGGCACAAGCCCAAGCTCAGGGATTGCAGCGCATCAACTACGCCATTCCATCCTACAGCTATGGCAACCTGTACTCCCCCTACGGCGGCGCCACCTCCACCATGGTCAGTCTGCCCAGCAGCACGCCCTCCTATGCGCAGGCGCAGATGCAGCAGCAGCAGCAACAGCAGCAGCAGCAGGCTCAGGTCCAGGCCCAAGTTCAGGCCCAGGCCCAAGCCCAGGCGGCCTACGCCCAGCAGGCCTACGCGGCCTATGCTGCAGCAGCTGGTCTCGCCCCCCAGGCGGCCACTGCCGGTGGCTACTACACCGATCCTGCTGCCCTGGCCAAGGAGGTGGCCCAGAAGAACTACGCCCTGAAGGTGGCCAGTGCGGCTGGGAAGCCAGGAGCTTCCTCCGCGGCAGCTGCCTACACTGGCTTGACCTTAAACAAGAGCTACGTGGCAGCGGCACCTGCACCCCAGACCATTCAGGCAGCCCAGCCCCAAGCCGTTTCCATGGCCACTCTGCTCCAGATGCAGGCCCAGGCCCAAGCCCAGGCTCAAGCCCAGGCCCAGATGCGCCAGCTGAGCTCTCTGCCCAGCTCCGGACTTGCCACCCCAGTGCCCGGCACTCCAGTCAGGGCTGCCCCTGCCGGATCGGTCGGTGCCACTCAGTACCAGTCCGCTGCTCTACTAAGAGCCCCCTCACCCATGCCATATGCCCAGGCCCAGGGATACTTCTATCCCGGAATGATGCCTACGGCGGCCTATGCCATGCCACAAACACAGGCTGCTGCGGCGCAACAGTACGCAGCAGCCGCTGCAGCGGCCGCAGCAGCCGCCCAGGGAGCAACTCCTGGCAGTGCCATGGTACTGAACCCCTACAAGAAGATGAAGACCTCCTAGGAAGTTCGATAACTAACCTACCCAAACACAACTGTACTTAAGACACCGAGCCATCGAGCCGATGGAAGAGTCACACTTAATTAGATACTTAGGTTTAGACACATCGAAGACGTAAGATTATGTGCCTCAGTTTTCTTGGAAAAGGACAAGTAGAGAGAAGCGTTTAGACCTTAGTTGTACCATAGGCCTCATAGCGTTAGAAACACGAACCATGACACGATAGCCGATAGCAAAAATCAGACCGACAGCGAGACAGATCGAAGATCAAGACCTACTAACACGAATGCCCAAAACTTGCTGAGAAATGAAGAATCGATAATTTGCCATTAAGTTATTTGACAAACGAAACATAACCTCACTGTGACTCAAAAGTGTTGCCATTTTCGCACAAGGATCGCAAAAGCATGCTTACAAAGCACAAGCGAACGGAAGAGAAACAGATGTTAGCTGATAGTAATACTTAAGTTCCTTTTTTCGGATAGCACTTAGTCAACTCTAGTTTATAGAAAGCGATTACACAAAAGGATCAATAAAACACAAATGGAGGGCGGGAAAAGAGACAGTAGTACGGGAGAATAAACACAACGAAGAACTGTGATAGCGAAAAAGCTTTGCGGGATCAAAAAGATAATGCCATGGGGAGAATTCAAACCTCTAATGCTGCTGCCGATGCTGGGTACAGTTGTGTATGCTTGTTGCTAGTTGCGGGTGCTTAATGCCATATCGCCGTCCCTGCCTCCCACATGCGGTAGTTCGTATAGCTGTCTCTCTCTCTCGCCCCCGCTCATCATCCATTTTCCGCGCGCTCTCTCTCTTTAACACCCTATCGCTGTCTCTGAATGTTTCCTAACTAGCTAGCTAGCTAGCGTGAATGCTGTTGTAATTGTTTAAAATTGTTGAGCAACGATAAATGCGTAACGAATATTGTCTAGTTTATATAGAATACTTATACGATATACATATACATATAAACCTAGCTGTACGTGCTGTATGCTGCTACCCATATACGATACGATATATACACCCACACTATGTACTCTAACACACGCTCATCCCTCACCAATACACCAATACCCCAGAAAAGGCATAAACATGACCAAGATCGATCTGTAAATCGTATGTCTAGCTTACTAATCAGATATTACAGTACAGTCACGAACACGTCTCTCTATCCGTTTCACTCTAACACACCAAACACCCGTACACCTTTCAGACTGTAAAGCCAGCAAAATTAATTTATGTTAATGTTATGTTATCGAGATTTAAATTTGATGTGTTGACCACCTGAACTATGTAAATCCTTTTGATTTTTAACGACTATCTTTATATTAAACGAAATCCCACTCTTCATCTGTCTTTTAACAACTATCGCCCACTCTTTCGATGTATTATAAATGTTTTCTTTTCTGTAAACGAAATGTTAAGCAAAGAATAAAATCATTGACAAACAGAACTAAGTTTTTAATGTTAGATCTCGTGTGATTATCAGTTTTTCTTTACGTTCTTTTCTATGTAATGTTTACGTTGATATTTATGTATTTTATGTACTTATAAACCAGTTTTTAGTGTAGTTATTATATAATTTTTGAAGTGTGTTCCCGATTGAGAAATTCTTGAGAAGAACCTACAAAAGCAACGAGATAAATTTGCCACTGACTTGCGCACCTTAAGTTTTAGACTCCCCGCCTACAACACCCCGCACCCGCAAAAACTCCACATCCAAAACATCCTACACACATTACTATTCGATATATATGATAATCTCTGTAAAATTGTTTTTAATTAAAGTACTTCTAATGTCTTAAAACGATTTGATGTTTGCCACTAATTCTTATCCTAATTCTAATCCTAATTCTAGTTTAGTTTCGATAGTTTTTATTAATGTTTTATTTGAAAAATACAGTGTGTTTATCTAAATATATAGTTTACGAAAAAACAAATATATATATCTTATTGTGTGTTGGTATTTTACTTTATTTGACTTACTTATTTCGGTATTCACTTGATATTCGTTTTCTGTTGTGCCGCTTTTACATCTCACCACTGATTTATACGTACTCCTTTGATATATAGACATATCAAATCCCGATCCTCACAAATACAAGCTTTGCCGAGCGCTTTTGGGCAGAGTACTTCTCAATCTAATAATCTTTCCCTTTCCCCAGAGCTTTCGAATCCTGATTTAATATTATAGTTTAATATTACTTCACCCATTCGCGCATTCCTCGCTACCTTTGTCACAACCACACAGAAACACCCACATAATCTTAGGACTGCCTGACTTTATTCCTTTGACCTGCTTCCCCCACAATTGCTTCTTCCCAAGGAGGAAACTGATCTTTTCCTCCGTAAATCCATCTCATACTATATACGTTTTAGCTCTTAGAATAATGGCAAGCAAAATGAGTACGCTAATGGTAGAGAATTAGTTGTAAAATCTGAATATACCATTTATCTAAACAATCCTATATGCCTACGGCCAGCTAATGCTTGGCTTACTCTATATACTCGATAAGAAAGATGCTTACTAAACATGGCAGCCGAAAACCATATTGAACCAACATATATATAAACGTCTAGCAAGCTAAACCAGACTAAATTATACCTATATTCATCATATATCTGAATGTCTTGCCTAAAGTATGATAACATTATCTATATGTGTCGTATGGTTAATTTTTTCGTTAACAATGTAGAAGTGTTGCCGTTGGCCCATAATTTCAGCAAAAGAACAAATACGCGAAAATATATAGAGATCGCTCTGGAGCTAACTAAGAACTAAAGCAAAAACTGAAACCTAACCAAAAAACACCACTCACCACTGCATGGCGCCAAGATATAACTAACTTGCATTTCAGACCTAAGAGCTCATATTTTATTCCGCTTTTTTCAAACTTTGCAATGCACCAAGAACACAGCAAACAAACAGACAGACAACAAAACAGTATGTTAACATTACCATGCAATAATATAGCAATGAATTGTCAGTTGACACTAGGATAACAATGAGTTAGGCTGATTTTCAATATACAAGAGAAATAAAAGATAATAACCACTTAGAAAACAGTCCATTTCAATATAGCAAAGTGGGCTTTTAAGCCTTCTTCAATAGATAGAAGTACAGTACCGTCCAATAGAAAATATAGTTTAGTGGAATCCACCTAGTTGCCTCTTTTTTATTTGTAGCCGAACCCGATGTCTCACACATTATACACTGAGAGAAATCAATTTAAGTTAAAGCAGGTTCTCATATCGCTTCACTACCATCGACGATAAGTGAGCGAAAAGTGTGGCAAATCGATTGCATGTCAAATAAGAGAGTTGATAACAGAGCAAGAATGTCGAAGTTGAAATTATTCATAACATTTAAAGATATATGTCGAAATATATATATATATATATCTAAACACACATCTATACACAAGCAAAGACACTAATGAATATGTTATATCTGTGCTAACATTAGTCGTATTATTATAAAGACAACAAATTATATTGAAATTATATTATATACGTTTTATTGTAAAAACCGTAAAACAACTTGTTGGCTTCTTTTACTCGAACCTTGGAAAGTGATCAAACCAAAACTAACATTCTCTCTTTCTCACCCACTACTAATCCATAAACAACAGTTTGCTGTGCGTTGTCTCTCTTTCTCTCTCTCTCTATTTGTTGGCTGTTTCCATTAATTAATAATTTTGATTCATTTCTGTTGGTATATTTATGATTTTACACCTAAGTTGGTCTACTCATTTTGCTGAATACCTAAGTTGAATCAAGCTTCCTCTATATATTTTTCGAAAAAGCTTCTTTTATTTATTAATAAACTCGGTGGTAACTGTTTAGGCGTACGTAAATCAATGTGCTCTCTGCTCGACTAAACTTCCTTTGATTTCCTCACAAACACTTCACACAGACACACCCGATTTCCTTTGGTAGAACTCTCAATACACTTGGCTTGCTGGATTACCCAGAGAAATATTACTGTATTGTTTGGCTAAAGCTGTTCTTGTGTATGGAATAAATAATATATAATATATATACATATGTCAATATCAAATATATACCCACTAGAGTTAAGTGCTTTTTGTAATGTTATCAAAGAAAATGCTTCGAATCATTTTAAGTTCTTGCCAACATTTTGCTCTATTTTAATCTACGACTCTCTCCTTCAAGCAGCAACTTTTATCTCTTACTTCTAGATGTATCTCTCACAACCTTAAGATTCTCAGTCTTACTACAACTCTTTCACTAGCATGATCCTTAAAATCAGTCAGTCCTCCGATATAACAACTATCCCACTCAACTTGAAGCTTTTCTTTGAGTTCATTACAAAAAGTTTGAGCGTCGCCAAAGAAACAGTAATGTCGTCTCCTTCCAACACACACTATATCTAACCCTTTCTTTCGCCCGTCGAAAGCGCTCGTCTTTCTCTTTCTCGGAGAAATTATCGGGGGAAAGTACGCTAAACTGCGACCTGATCATGTAATTAATTTTGAGTTAACTTCGTTTAGTTGGCCTTTCTTGTGTTTACTTTGATTTAATGTCGCTCTACATTATTTTCGAAACTTTTCGATTGGAGCGTAATTTGTAATTTTTCAGCATGTGCTCAATGAAACAGAACTTTTTTGTAGCAAGTATTCCGATATGACTATGAGTATGAATATCACGCAGTGACGTTGCAAGTGGCTGTCTCTTTCTACCCTCTATATACGTATCTCTCTCGCTCGCTCTCGAGACCGATATTACTACTCGTACATTGCGTTTGTTCACATACATATACTCGTATAACTCGTGTATGGCTTCTGAGGCATGTGGTATGATGGTAAAGCTATATGAAAGCACTTCTAAGGTAAGCTGGTGCACCGCCCCAAATATCCGAGCTTTTGTTTACTCCCATAACGGTATACCTACGATTATATCTGAAGACTGATACCTGCTATATAGATGCTAAGTATGTCTAATGTTCACCATTTTATGTTTTCGTAGACTCGTTTTTGTCGTTTAACCGCTTCGATCGGCGGAGCTAAGGAAGATCGGAGATCGAGGATCGGGGTTATTGGTTCCTGTTCGATCGGACATCGGATCTCCTTAGCCCGCCGAGTCGTCCATACACATATACAATACACTTGTGGCCAGAATATGTTATTAACATGACTTCTTTTTTTGTTTCTTTTCAAACGAATTTTTTCTTTCTTTTTCGTAACAGCAGGATATGCAAAAAGATCCGCAATGTAAAATGTTTGACTGTTTGCTGAACATAGAGGAGACTATACTCCATATGATACTTAACCAACACGCACACACACCTACACAATCACACCCAAAAACACACATACACACCACTTTACATACACTTACACTTAGTTAGCAAGTTTGTAGTGCGAGATGCTTTCTAGGTGAAGTTGCTTTAAAGGCACCGCGAAGCGCTTGAGAACGAGAACATCTAAAACCAAATAGAATACTGCTTCAACTTTTCCTGCGCTGGAACAACCAGAGTCTATAGCCCAGTCACACACACCCAAAACACCCACACACACAGCCAAAAAATAAAACAAACACCACAACTACAAGGCAAACTGGTAAACCGAAAGAATTTAGTGAAAGTTTTCTTGCGTTTCCCTTTGAAATTCGATACCAACCCTATGCATACCCCTATTTATCCGTACTTGTATCTACCATATTTGATTGACTTTTGCAGGCTTGTTTGTATGTATGTAGTAAGTATTTGCCTTGTTTCTGTGTGATGTCCTGTGAGGAGCGATTGTTAACTGAACCCTGCTTGATAACCGAACCGAGCTTACCCTCTTTTTTTTCTCGTTTACAGCATTTACGGCTGACGCAGTAACAAGTTTGAAATGCGCTTCAAAAATGCGATTGCGAATAGCTGCTGGCGAATGAGTTTTTATTTGTTAACTACTTAATACGCCTTTTTTTATTACTCATCGTTTTTTTCTGCTTTTTTCAGTTGCCGCTTAGCCTGCGCTTCATGCCGTTTTTTATTTTAGTTTAATCCCCTTTATTTGCAGCGTCAACTAACCGCCCAAGCCCCAAAAAGTATGCTACTCTTTTATAATTTGCTAATTTGCCGGCTGCTGCTGCCATCTAGCTTAAAAACCAAACCAAACTGAACCGAACCCGAACTAATCTACGATAGGTTTAAGTGCGTTTCGCCTTTTTGCATATGCGAACAACAAAGCCGGAGATCCGAAAAAACTTTTCCGCCAGCAACAAGTTAATTACACGGGTGGGAGGGTGCGGTCTGCTGGGCGAAAGCCGTAATTACAACACGAAAACATTGTTATTTTAATGGGGGCGACGGCGGAGGGCGTGGTGTCACACATTTACATTTATTAACTCGTGTCCCGTGTGGCCCGCAAACTTTATTTCCACCTCTTCCCCAAAAGTTTTCGTTTTTTCGAGGCCTCCCCTTTATTTGCATAATTCGAAATCAAGGACTGTTAAAGAGAAAGGAAGATAGGGCGAAATCCGACCAACGTACTCTACAATTTGGGAACTAGACTAGACTAGTGAGAATCTTGTTTTTCGCATATGCAGCTTAAGCTTAATTTTAAGACTTTTATGCAAACTAATTTGTTTTGATTTCTCTGATGGAGTTACGAACAATCTAATTATTTCCTCTAATTTTTCTACCTTTTTACATGCTAACACACATGCGCAATAAATCAACAATGATATATTTAAACCATGAAACAATGTTCTCACCATTTGCATGCAACTCAAACAAACCGAAACCAAATGTTTATATCTATTTAATTTATGAATAACAACAATCACGCACGGATTTGGATCGAAAAACAAACGCTGCATGGAAAACCAACAAATACCGAAATTAAAACAATTTTATACTATATATTTTGTGTTCACAAAATTGTCATTTTTTTTGTTATCACCAAACCACTTTCACCAAACCACACATTTTTCTATATAAATATTTGTCTCATAACGCATACTTGATTTGAGGCATGTTTTTCTCGGCTTTATGGCCAAACCAATTTGGCCCCATAGCGAACCCGAAAATACCCCTGAACGCTTCCTGCGTCATCTACACGGATGCCAGTGGCCAGGTACAGTCTGCCCCGACTATCGCCGCCATCCGTTGGCTTCCTGCATGAGACCGCTTGCCCCCATTCCCCCATGCTAAGTTTATGTGTTCTTTTGACCCGTTTAACCAGCCGCGAAAGGAAATAAAACACAACTAGAGCAGCAAGTATTAGCTGGGCTAACTTTTGCCCGACTTAAATTTTACACCCTGACTTTCGGAGGGGCAGTTGAGGGGGGTCGTTGAGTTAATCAAATTAAATGCGCTGCCGCTCCTCAGACAAGAGTCAACAATCAAACGAACAAACAAACAAGAAAGCCGGGCCAAAAGGCGCGGCTCCGAGACGATGACGTTGACTTGGTGATGTCAGGAGCCGTTTGGTATATAAGCCATATGCCATATGCCAAATGCCAAATACCGTGAGCGGTGAGCCGTGAGACATGGACACACCTCGGGGTGTCATAGCTGTTAGCAGTTGTTTGTTTTTCAAACACCCGAACATACACCCACCCAAAACAGACACACACCCACCCACACTCATATCACACAACAAACCAACCAACCAACCACCCAACCACCCACCCATTCGCCCGAGATAAATACTATATATAAACTGTGTATTCTCTCTATATATATTTCGATATCGTAGCCCAACCGGAGAGGGGCCTCTTGTACACTCAGTGTCCGATGCTAGTGAACGGCACCTTTTACGTGATTAGGTATGCAGAGGTCGATCCCCACCCTCCACCCCTTCCCCCTTCCCTTTTTTAGCCCGGTTAACTCCTTGGAGAGCTTCTTGGCCATTTGGGTTCTGTTCTGTGAGCTTAGCTTTTGCCTTGGCTTCCGCTTTCCGTGTGCTTCGTGTGCGAGGATCGAAGGAGCTTGAGCCTTAACTTTGAGTTCAGCTTGGCAGCTTTTGATTTCCACCCCTCTTTGGTTTCTGTGTCGCACTCGTACGAGAAGAAGAAGAGGCCTCCACACGATGGTACAAAAAGAATTAACCCCACCTTTACGATCTCTCTTTCTCTCTCTTCTCTCTCTTCTCTTTTCTTATATTTCTAGTGCCGCCTATTAGGATATGTAATTGTTACCGCCTAGTACAGCCCCAATAGAACCTAAGCAAAAGCAATCAGTCAATCAGTCTGATTGATCAGATCAGAGATCAGAGCATTTTTGAGTTCCCTAAATGAGATACCAATTACGAGTTACGAGTGAGTCCATCCATAGATAGCTCCTTGACGAGGCGCTTCGCTTTCGAAGCTTTTTTAGCTTTTCTTGGCCCAGTTTCTGTTGATCGAATACTTGCTGCTTCCACAGAGTGTTTTATTTCGTGGCAAACTTTATTTCTCAGCTATGCACTTAAGTTCCCAACACACACACACAATACGACCCGCAGTTTATCCCATCGAAAGACGAAAACGAACCCACAGAAAAAAAACAAAAAACCAATTGCGAGGAACACACTATGAAATTCAGAAATTCAGAAGCCCTTTTTGTTCATTTGCAATGCCATTTTATGATTTGACTCTTCGCCTTTTTAGATTATTTAAGTCGGAGAGAAAACTAGCTTAACATACGAGTATCTATATTAAATGTATCATGTGAAACCGATAAGAACCAATAGGTTCGAGACATACCTATACCTACATATCTAGTTAGCTCTATTAACAACGACTAACATCTGGAACTCCACCAACATCAAGCAATTGTAAAACCGAAACCGTATTTATTCTAACCAACCATTAACCATTCTAGTGAACCATTTCAATATTATAAGATATAACTAATTTGTGCTCTTTTTCTTTTCTTTTTTCTGCTCTTCTCTTTTTTTCGAAACTGAAAACCGATGATAAATATAAAAAAATCCCCCAAACCAAAACCCCGAATCACACAAAACCCCCACAAACTCTTTATGATTTCCTGAATTGGTTTCCGTTTGCATCCTGCCATACCCAAAAAAATACAAAAACAAAAACAAAATCAAAAACAAAAACTATGTCTGAAACACAACAAACTCTCATGCCCAATATAGTTACTGGACACCCTCCCGGTGTGCCAAGATTTTAATAGATCTATGTGCAGTCGGTTAAATTGTAGATTCGTTCATTTAACTGAAGGTAAGTGCATGTGCCTAAGTTTCTTCCTTTTCCTAAGTTCACTTTATCCTTCTATATGTTTCCCTTCTTTCCTTACGTTCCCCACTCTTGGGTTTAGTTCTAAATCTATATCTGAACGCTTTTAGTGCTACCTTCTCCTAGAAATTGTTGAGATGATTTCCGTTTAATCCTAAGTTGTAGTTAGGAGAACACCACAATTAATTTATCTTAGTTTAGCTGAATTGGCTGCAGACTTGATTTAATAAAAATGTTTGACCATTTCCGTGATTATTTTTTGTTCGATTTTAAGTTGGCTTTCCGTCAAGATAATTACACACACAAAAATACACAAAAGTATGGAGTATTGTAAAGAACTCTTTCGAGCCAAATGCGAGAGGTTTTGTTCACAGCAGCTGGCAGCTGGCAGCTAAATCTGAAGCAAAGTCTTCACCCTCACTTTCATAAGAACTCATGTAATTGTGTGAAAGTCAGCTGCAGTAAAGATCACTTTTTTATTACCGATAAACTTGAACAAATTGTTTGGAAAAGCTTTCACTGTTTTCTAATGCCAACCAACTTAACGTACGAACCGCCGCCTTCATCCGACTTACTAACTTCCCGCTCTCTCTTTTTGTGTCTATCCCCGCTTCCTGATCCCGATCAGATGACAAGGTCGAGGTGATTGATCAACGTGTTGCTGTCTGCCGCGACCACGCCAACAGCCAGTGCCGCCGCAAGCAGTGTAAATACTACCACATACCGATTGTCCTGCCGCCGGCCAACATCATGGCGGCCATGATCACCAGTCCCAGTGAGCAGCAGCCCGCCGTGCCGGTGGCCACAACAACAGCCTCTCCGGCAGCGGCAGCGGCAGCAGCAGCCGCCGGCTTCAACGGCGCCAGCAACTTGATCATCATCGAGCCGCAGCAGCAGCAACAGCAACAACAGCAACAGCAGCAGCAGCCGCCGCAGCAGCAGCAGCAGCAACAGTTCAGCTATCACAGCACCAACAGCAATAACAACTACTACCACAGCAACGCCAGCAAGCAGGCAGCACACGCCGCCAGCAACATCTACCAACAGCAGCAACAGCAACAGCAACAGCATCAGCAGCAGCAGCAACACCTGCAGCAGCAACATGCGCAGCAGCAACCACACATCACGTACCACTGCAGCTCGCCCTACTCCCCCCTCGTCGGCCTCCTCGTCCTCCTCCTGCTCGATAGCCACCTCGCCCACCCTCTCGTCGGCCACCACGCTGTCCACCACCTCGACGGCCACGATGCCCACGCCGCAGCAGCAGTACGCGGGCCCGGCGGCCACGGCGACCTTCCTGAAGGCGCCGGCCTACTACACCGATGCCACGCCCACTTTGGTGCTGAGCAGCGACTACAACTCCAACTGCATCCCCATCCAGGCGGCGCCGTTCATCTCGCTGCAGGCCGCGCCGCAGCAGCATCTGCTGAAGTACACCGCGCAGGCGGCGCCGCCGCAGCAGCAGCAGCACGCCTTCGTGGGGCACCACCACTACCAGACGCAAATGGGCCAGGTGGTGGCCACCACAGTGGCCGCCCTGCCCGCCACCACCATCACGGTGGCGCCGGCCACAGTGGCGTCTCCATCGGCCTGCATCTAGGAGAAGGGGTTCCACCACCTGCCTGAGGGGGCAGCTCTGTTCATTTTCCCAGAAACGTATATTAAGTCGTGGGGGTGAGCTGTGTCTGGGATCACCGGAGATTCGAAAACAATAGTTAAGGCACCCAAAAGTAGGCAATGAAACTTAAGAGCTGAAATTAAAATTAAACCATTTTAACGTTTTAAAATATTTCATGGCCTACTTTATGGGGCCGCAACTAGAGTTTTTCAATCTCCAGAGATTTCACCGTATAGGGTTTTTATTAAAAGTTTCTCACCTACCTTATCCATTGGAATACTCGTTTTCGTCAACTCCACTTCACCTAGATACTTATATTGCATACTCCTCACAACCTAAGCAACTCAATACGTATACCAATCAATGATACTCCCAAAGCTACGCTCTACACAAACTCCAAGCTAAATTGGATGAAATCAAAAAGCAACAGCAGAACCTGTCTGAAAGGTCGAAGCTAGTAAGGAAAACTTCAAACAATCACATTCTACGAAACACAAACACTAGAACACAAGGCAGTAATGACAGTTTTTGATGAAAATTAAAGGTTGATACGAACTATTTACAAAATTAAGAACCGAAAGTACTATTGGGGGAAGAGAAATTAAAACTCTACAGAACTTTTTCGTACGTATAGCAAGACTTAAAGGTGTAAGCACTCGACTTACACATCAAGTGAAATGCATTAGAGGGAAAATATTGAGTGACGACTCTACAATATTACAAAACCAAAACAAAAGGAGAAAAAAAAAAAAAAAAAAAAAAAAGAGTGTTGTTACATGCAAAAGTAAGAAAAGAAAATTAGCAATTAAAAATTGAACTTAATATTACAAAGGAAAGATGAGAGGAGTTGCATTAAAATTAGTTACAAACTATTTTAAACTCTAGTGTTCCATATTTCAATGCAAATAAAAATACAAGAAAAAGGTTCATAAAAGTGGATAACAATTTAGTGAGGAGTGTTAATATTAGGTAAAGTTAAGCCTGACAAACCGTTCTCCATGGCAAATAGTCAAAATTAATCAAAAACAGAATCTACATAGGCCATAGATAAGCAGCAAGAACAACTAATAATAAACACATAACAATAACAATAATAATAACGATAACGATAACGATAACGATGAGGATCAGGATGAAGATGAAAAAAAGTACAGTCACGTCCTATTTTTGCAACAACGATTTACTACAAGCGAGAGGCAAACGATATGGGGATTTTATTAAGCAGAAAGCAAAGATCAGATACAGAATACAGAGTACAGAAACCATAATCTTTTTTTACATTTTATAATAATGATCAAGATAAATCAGCAAAACTACAGCAAGAGAAATCATATTTTTTATATACAAAGGAAGCATCAAAAACAACACTGATAAACAAAATCGAGATGAGGTAAACAACAACAAGAAATTTAATCAAATCTAAAGGAATAAGCATTTTTTGCAACAACAAACAAAGACGGAGACTTTTTTAAAGTGTATAATTAACCACTCGTTTAGCTGAATTGTCTAGTAAATGAATCCAAAAGAACTCTAAGCAACATTTATTGAGCAGTAACACACAGTTCACACTGAAATCGAAATCGAAATCGTACCGTACTATATCTTCCTATGCAAACGATTTGTAAGCACTATATATGTATATAGAGACATAACCACTATATGCGACATTTGCGAATCCAAACTTATTTCCGATTCACTGTTCGTTTACAGTTTGGCGCTGTTGTAATAAATATTTGTGACTTGGTTTTTTTATACACTCAAGAGCGTATTTCGACACACAGAATAACAAGAATTACAATAAATTGCAGAATGGAAACTACTTATTATATACAAAAGCATACGTATATACACTATATGTATATATACTACATATATTTATGTCTGTACACGTATAAATATATACATTAACAAAAATATATTGATTATATATATATATATATTTACTAATGGCAACTAAACATGAAATGTGATCTTTTAAAGAAACAAAAAGTAAACGGAAGAAGAGAAATAATAATTTAACGAGAGCAGGCAGAATTGGATAAAGGTAAAATGGAATTAAAGTAAAGCGAACTATATAGTTGCAATCGATTACTAGAGCCATTGCAAGCAGGATAGTTAAACGTAATTTTAAATTGGTTCCATCTCGAGGCAAGCGTACGAATATCTCCATTCAATAAAGATAACACCAATAATACTCGACATCTAGCTAATAATTGTTCAACAATAACAGATTTATCTACATATACATTTAAGGGCTGGCTATAATATACGGAAATTTGTTTTCTCACTATCACTCTCACTATCTCACCTTCTACCCATACACCTGAGTTCCTCTTTCTATCTAACACTCGGATGCCCAGTAACTAGGTGTCCGAGTCCAGCACTTTAACCTTACCACTCGTAGTACTCAACTCAGCTCGCTCTCTTCGAAGCCTCCGCAACTTACTCGATCGCACGGAAGTCGTATCTCCCCGAACTCCAAATAAGAATGCCTAATAAGTTTCCGTCCATTATAATCAGACCTTAAATCTATGTGCAACGACAGCAAGAGAAAGCGGAACAGTTGTAAACGAATAAACTAAACTAAACTTAACTAAAGTAAACAAGTAACGTAATGATAAATATAAACACACATACGCGTAGATTCTCAAACTAAAACTCGTCGACATTTTAACAGTTACTAACATTTATTATAATAACGACAAATGAGTAATACAATAAGCTGCAAAATGGCAAACAAAAAACCAAGGAAGTTTTGTGTAAAAATAAATGTTCTTAAAAGAAAAGTGAAAAAGGAAAAAACGAAAAAACGAAAAAAAAATACAAAAACCAATAAGTGGGAATGAGAAGTCCTAGTTACTAAGCAAACTAACTACAAACGTATAGACACTATAGAATCATTGTACCATAAGAGATTTCAGCGGAATTTTGTTCGACTTGACATCTCCTCTAGTATGTGTAGACTGGCATGTAACTTGACATGGCCGCGCATGTAGAATAGCACGAGTTTGTAAACTAGAAACGAAACTTTTATTTGCCTTAACATCAAACCAATATATACACCAATATACATTGATTTCGATGCGATCCTTTCAACCCTTTGAATAGTTTCGAATTGTTTCGAAAACAAATTTCCCTTGACGCTTGTACATGGCGCTCCAAAAACAAACAGAAACTAAAACTTACCAGAAAATATTTCTGAATGGAAAGGAAAGTGGATTAAAATAGTAATGTGTAGAGTCTCCTTCATTGTAAGTCATAGTTATTATTGTTAATTTTAATTTATATTTACACATATATATTAGATCATTATGATTATTAATTGTGAATATGATGTGATGTGTTTATTGAAAGAAAAAACAAAAACCGAAACTAAAACAAAATACAATTACTGAATGTTGCAACGTAAAGAAAACTAAATGTATTGACCCCTGAGAGCAGAGTGAAGAAGGGATATTACGAGGAACCTTATCGAGAATGTGAGGCAAAATCAATTTTACTCTAATTCAGATGGTAAAGTAAGCGTAATGTTAAATTACACTATGATACATGGCATATGTTTGTATGTACTGTAAGTAGTTATTCATTTTTGTCAGGTGATATCAACGAATTTTTCAATATGTTCTTCAAGCGGAGTGCACTCTCTGCAGAACCCTACCCCTAATGTCCCTATCTCTATATCTATATCGTTTCTAATTGAGTTAAGTTCCCGATATTATTTCTTCGTCTTTTGTCGTTTTTGTTTTGTGATATTCGCGGAAAGAGAAGAAGTTGACGGAATAATTGTTGTTCGTTGTTTATTTTTGTGTTCATATATATTTTTGTAGTTTGTTTTATTTTTTATAAATATACATTGTATTAAACATATATTAAATATACATTAATGAACTAGTATATACAACTTAACTATACACATATACAAATAAAGATGAATTGGAATAATAGATCGTAAGATATGGAGTTTTTGGCAGGAAGAGATCCACAAAAGTAAAACTGAACGAAAGAGATCACGTTTTGGGCGAAGTCTCTGACGAATGATAATTGATAGCGATGATACATATACTCCTAAAATAAAACAAAACACAAAAAAATGAAAATTTTTTAAAAATATTTAATAAACAAATCATTATTACCTATTATTATTATTATATTTATTATTGTAATGAAACAAATTTAGTTATTATTCATGTAAAGAACGAACCAGGAAGGCAAAGCAAAGCGAAAACAAATCTTGCGAAATGCAACAACAACAACGAGCAGAAGAAAGTGAAAAGAAAATGAATAAGAAGCTGGCAAGTGAGAAAGATGATGAATGAAATTATATTGATAATGAGAATACAACATTTAAAGTTATTTAGCAGTAAATGGGAAAAAATTAAAAACAAAACATGAAAACAACAAACATCAATGAACAACAAACAAAACAATGAAATACAATAAAACACAAGAAATAAATTACAAAAAAAAAATACAATTGTCCTTGTTCTTTGGGGAACTTTCGGCCACGAAAGTTCGGAGTTTCTCTCATTAGAGGCCATGGAAATGGAGAGGAATGCAGATATCCTCGCATAAAAATGCACACATCCCAGATGCATTATTTCTGCTTAACCGCAGAGCCAGAAAACAAAAGGAGGCCAAGTCGACAAAGGGAACTTGGCTCAAATTTGCTTTCCCTTTTGCGAGGGGAGGGGCGAACTAAGCGTATGCATGCACACGTAAATTCCCCAAGTGCCAGTGCAGGAAAACTGCAAAAAAAGGAGAGTAGGAAAATAGAGGAAAAACTAGGAAAAGGGGGGAAACTAAGGGGTGCCAGCAAACGACATGAACCTGGCACATGGCAGTGAAAAATGTGCAAAAAAGAGTGAAAAGAGTGCGGGGGCGGAGGGGCACAGAAACTTTGCCACCGCCAGCAATTTTCCTCTGCATTTTTCCTTGCAAGTTGGCATCCTCCCACTCACACACACACATGTGCGTATGGAATGGCACGTAAGTTGTCTATTTCACACACCAACGCGCATCGCATCGCATCGCATCGCAAGGAGAAAAACGGAGAAAATGGCATCTGCGAGGGTCCTTTAGGGGCTCCCCCTTTCGATGACTTGGTGGCCATATGGCGTCGTAACTGTTGCAATTAGTTGCCAGCGGACACAAAATATTGGCCCCCAGCCACTCACTTGGCCAACTCCCCATCCCCCCAAACATCCCTTTGCTCCCAACATCGCCAAAGTGTAATTAATGGCTGCGGATTATTGATATCGAAAAAGGTGAAAATGGTCGAGTTGATAGTGGCCGCAATGTTGAAAAATGGCCAGAGACTATTACTCAACTAAAGGGCTAAGGTGCTGAAATGGAAATTTCTCTTGGCGGTAAAGGCAAGTTAAGTTATTACAAGTAATTTGGTTGGGGTGTGGGTGAAAGTATTTAAAGGACTTTAATTTTAAAACCCTCTCATAGCAAATTTAGTAGTCAATGATAATCAGTGTTGTAATACCCACATGCCAATCTTTATACCCGCCAGTGTTGGTCCCCTAGAAGTACCCAATTATTTAAATTCCGGCAGGATCCTCTTTTCCAACCTCAAAGACTGACTAACACACCTGGCAAACTCCTTTGCCGGCTGCTATCTGCCATTCTCCGGGGATTATCCCTCATATCGCTGGCTTCAATTGGCTGCACTATCAGACCGGAGGACATCCATTAGGGCAAGTGGGGTTACACGGTCGTGGCATACAAATTAACACAGAAATTGCTTTATTATCAGGCGAGCCCCGCACTCCC